TATATATATATTAGTAAAAAGAAATCCATTATTTTTTCATTCAATTTCATGCAAAAATAATGGATTTCTTTTTACTACACCTTACACACACACACACACACACACACACACACACACACACACACACACACACACACACACACACACACACACACACAGAGTGTCCCATAAGTTTTGGCCAATCGCTTTTGTGTAGATAGAGACTAAACTGAATCAAAAAGTCCTCTACCATTTTGCAATTTTCGTAATAGTTAACAAGATATTAATTACTAAAAATTACTAAAAATTATCGAATATTGGTCTTCAATAATTTTTTACTCAAATACTATCAACTTTACTTTAGAAAAACTGCAAGAGATAAAAATCATTTATTTTTTTCTTATAGAACTCTAAGAATTTTTTCAGTATTTTTTATCAATTTTTTAGTACTGCATTTTCTTATTTTTACCAACATGAGAAAATACGATATTAAAAAAATTCTGAAAAAATTCTTAGAACTTTATGACAAGAAAATAAATGATTTTTCTTGCAGTTTAAATGTTTCTTGCAGTTTTTTTTGTAAAGTTGATGGCATAATAATATCGAATGTATCGCTGATAAATTACTATTAAAATAAAAGTTTAAAGAAATAATATTTAACGATATACTAACTTAATTTTCCTCATATCAAACATGCAATTCACGCATATTTTTATTTGAATTTAGACAAAGTTCAGATACAATCCAAACAGTTTTAAAATTTAAGAGCTATTGAAAACACGTCAAAATTGAGTTGTCTTTCAGTCATGTTTTAATAAATGTCTTTTAATTGTCATAAAATGAACTTTTTTCCTTGAAAAGATTCCTACAGCAAACAAAGACAAAGAATCTCAGATTAATTAAATCCGAAGATCGTATGCGAGGAAAATTCCGTTACGTAAAAGATTTCGCTTTGCAAATGTAACATTTCCGTGTCATCGTTAATTTCTTCATATCATCGGTCGAGCAAAGATCGACAGATGAAAGTGCGAGCGATCTCTGTGCGCATTAGAATGTGCTGTCTCATCTTTATTACTCGTTATGTATGCCAAGTATCTGAACATCCGTGAGAATCCACACGTGAATTTTGTGTCGTGTAAGTACATTAAAATTTACACGCGTCACGATCATCACGTTATCGCACGCATCGGTCACGCGCCGCGCCGCGCGCCGCGTCGGTCCGATTCGAGCAGGGCGCGTGGCCACTTACGAATGTACGAGTGCACACCGACACAAATGTTGCTGAGATATTACCGTAAAAACAAAACGAGCAATATCCATTCTTTGAGATAATTGCCGATTAATTTAGAAATTTAATTTCTGTTCGAATTTCGTGCTTAATTCTTTATATGTATCCAAAATTTACTGCTAGCGATAACAAAAGTCTATATATATATATATAGTTTACATTGCGTACATTATATAGGTTTTTAGCACTGGCAATGAATTTTGATATACAGCCATGTATTGTTGCAATTTCTCGTCACGTCATTGTATACTTTATTTATGCCTTGTATATCAAGTGATTAGATAAATAATCATGTCAATCTCTCTTCTGGAGTGTAAAACGTAGTGATATAATCGAATAAAGAGTGAATTAGAAAGCGATATACAATTAAATGTTAATATTTTACATCAAAATATTTTACATCAAAATGGGTTGTGCATTGCTACAATTGTCAATATTAACTTACTCTTATGTCTCCTAATATGTGCCGATTATTTCATATTTGGTACAATTTTCGAAATATATTAAAGAAAAATTACTGACATATGTATTAATTAAAAATTTTTAGAATATGATCATATTATATGTTGTTGAAGAAAATTATAGTTTGCAAATGTGTCGATTTCATAATAACAAAATATTTTAAAGATATTAGAAAAATATTAAAAAGTATTTTACATTCAAATAATAGTAT